ATTGAAATTGACATAACAGCACATAATTATTATTCTTTGTCCCCCTTTCTGTTGGGCATGCCTGCTGAACTGGGAGAAAGGCAGGAAGGGAAGGAAAGAGATAAATAAAACTTCAAAACATTTGTTCAGGGCCAGCAATAAAACCTCCAAGAATCTGCGGTCCTGGCAAATATGATGATGACACAAGATAAAGAAGAAGGGATCAATGGAAGGTTCGTATGTGAACATTCCAAAATGTACACATTTATTCTGCTGCATAAGAAATATATCATTAATCCATTGTCTTATGTACTAGCTGCTACGTTTTAGAAGGCACACATTCTGTCAGAATCAATTCCCCCTCAAGTAAAAACCCAATCACGTGGAGAAATATTTGCAACAGCCTACAGCCTATGATCTATCTTTCAAACAAGATGTGAAAGTAGTCAAAGTCATTTTGTAACAAGCAAAATCACAACGAGGTGCAAGATGGGGGATAATAAGCAATTACAGAAGACATGGTGGAGGAGCACACAGGAGTGAGTATAACTGAGAAGCCTTAGGAGGACAGGAAGTGAAAGGGTCACCACAGCAGCTCTGAGAATAGACAAGCGTTTAAACTGGCTCCATATTCCGCTTTCATGGCATACAACTAACTACGCAGCATTCAGTCACTAGCCAGCACTCAAAGCTGCAACCCTACTGTCACTAATTTGCTAATGACAAATTCAAAAATTATCAATACGACAGTCAGGATCCGACTGCAAGATCCTAGTTTAAGGTTAATTCAAACACCATAAACACAGTTTCCACCTGAATGTATGAACGCTGAAAATGATTCGTAACTTTCTTGCAGAATTTTACTCATAGGTCTCCCTCCCCAAAACACAAGAGTTTTGTCAACGCAGTAACAGAGATCGCACTGTATGTGAAAGGGAGTAGCTGAACACAAAGGGGTGCTTGCTGCCATGATTTAGAACAGTTCTATGAACATCACTGCAACAACTCCACACACACACCAACGTTTAAAACTGCAGAAAATGCTATGTTTTTTATATATAGGTCAGTCACTTTTACTGCTCCATGCCATGCCCGGACGTTGCTCTGTGCAACTTCTTCCCTATGTGCCACATTCCCTGTCTTGGCTCAGTGACAGCATCAAATGCCTGATTCCAGTGATTTAGAATACCACCTGGTTGCAATTATTGCCACAATCTCAACTGCCTTTTCTTGTTCTGTGGAATTATGGGTTCTAAAGTTGGGGAAGTGTATTTGCCTCTCTATATTTATTTCAGTTTTCTCCCTTTGCATTCTGTTTTTGGTGAGACCCTCCCTTTGTTTGGGCGTGTGTGAGAGGGATCGTTTTGTTGTTGTTTTTGTTGTTGTTTTGCCATCTTCACAGCAGATGACTCATTAGACAAGGTTTACTTCCTCCAAAGAAAATAGAAGCTGCTGCTTTACTTTACAGCTCTTAAAAGCACAATTTGGCATTAGGGTAACACTCATCCACCATCTGCCCTCAGCCGCGGATCTGCCTTATTAAAAAAAAAAGGTCACAGTTGCAACATTAATGCAAGTTGATCTTTGACATCCTGCACTAATTACACAGAACCTCTCACTGATAATAAGGACATTAGTGGATGGGGGAAGGGAATTGACTGCTGAGAGGGCACTGTGAAAAGCAGAATGACTTAAAAATTATCCCTTCTGTTATGGTGGGCAGATCCCCAGCTGTCTCTGTTTTCTGCAGCTTCTGAAAGTATTGGCAAAGTCAGATTATACACGTGGGAACCATATATTGCTGAACATGTTCAGTAGCTGTGAGTCTTTTTAGTCCTGATAATCTTTATAAGCAATCTGATATACAAGCTTACTAATTTTACTGGCAAGTGAACGCTCTTTCATTCTGTTCATATCCTCTCCAATGGCCATCAGATTGATACCTGGTAAAATTTTATTCTTTAAGCTCTACTTGGGCAGGAGGCTAATGCAATATGCTACTAGAATATGATCTATTTACATTATTTCTTTTCAGAAGGCCAGCAGTCTGTTGCCTAACAATCAACTCTATAAGATCTGATCAAATTTGTTCTTGATCCCACATTCCCCCTGGGAATTCAAGAGCAAGAGCAAACCCAGTAACACTACCAGCATGACACAGCAATCTGAGAGACAATACTATTTAAAATTTCCTTCAAAATCAAGATTCAGTATAGGCTAGTAAATTACTACAGAGCATAAGTATCACAAGCAAGCTTATCTAACCAAACACACAAGAAACAGCACAGGAATATCTAAATATCTAAACAGAAATATAAGAAAGTGAGCATGCTGTTAGAAATGAAAACTACAGAAATTCAACACTGTTCTGTTGTAATAGTGGCAATTCTTTCCAAATGTTATGTCTCAGAAACTTTCTATTTTGAAAATAGACGGCTGACAAAGTTATGCTTACAAGACGTAAGTCTGAAACACGTGACATCTAACTTGATTCACCTCTATGTCTTTTAGAGAAGCCACAATTTTTCCACTGACGATCAAGTCTCCTTCAGGGCACAGTTTATGTGCCCCTTAACAGCACCTTTCGAGTATCTTTGTGATCAAGTGGGGGAAATGTGCATGTGCTTGCAAGGCATGTACCATATTTTTCTGTGTATGAAACAACATTTTTCCTAAATTAATTAAGGGGGGAATTGAGGGTTGTTTTATACACAGAAGGAGGCAGAGGCAAAGGAGTAGACAGACGCGCATGCTCCAACGCCTCTTGCTGCTGCCACCCCATCGCTTCCTCTGGTGCTCCCTTCGGGCAGGGGACAAGGCGGCGACAACGTGAGCTCGAGGTGAGCCCCAGCAGTCGCACTGGAGGAGATGATAGGGCAGCGGAGGCAGCAGCAGGAGACAGAGGTGGAGGAGCAGTTGCCCATTAACTGCTCCTCCACCTCCGGCAAGGGTCAAAATTAGGGGGTCGTCTTATACATTGGAGGGGTCATATACATGGAAAAATATGGTATCTTCTTTACACATTAGTAATAACTGACCTTTACACATTTTTTAGCATCCCAAATGCTTCTACCCCACAAGTCTTTGAACACCACAAGCAGGATCAGGGAGCAAACATTACTATTCACATAATGACAGGATCAAACTAAACCCAATAAATACGGTAGTAATTCTCTCAAACATGCATGTACAGTGGTACCTCGCAAGACTATTACCCCGCAAAACGTTTTTTTCACTACATGTTGACTTTTTGCGATTGCTATAGCGATTCACAAAACAGTTTTTCCTATGGGGGATTCCGCTGGACGATGATTTGGTCTGTGCTTCGCGGATCGTTTTTTCGCAAGACGAGGATTTTTACAGCTGATCAGCAGCTTCGCAAAATGGCTTCCCTATGGGCGATCTTTGCAAAATGGGTGTTTTCAGGACCGATGCTTCGCAAGACAGCAATTTAAACAGCTGATCGGTGCTTCACAAAATGGTTTCCCTATGGACAATTTTTGCTGGACAACAACTATTTCCCCCCCCCCCATTGGAACGCATTAAACGGGTTTCAATGCATTCCAATGGGGAAACGCTTTTCATTAGACAATGTTTTCACAAGACAGCAATTTCAATGGAATGGATTAACATCTAGTGAGGCACCACTATACAGCTGTGACTTAAAACTGGCTTATTTGACTTGCCCACTCCCTAGAAAAACTTTAGAACCACCATTCTGTGGGGCTGTTAGGGATCTGATTGCACCCCAGCCATCTCCAAACTACTGTTCCTAGGATCCTATAGGGAAGTTGTGACGGCTGAATTATTGTAAAACCACAATAAGTTTGCAGTGCAAATTGTAGTTTGTCATCAGTTTTCTCTTATTAGTAAAACAGTAAAAACGTTTTAAATTTGCTGGGAAAACAAGCTTGTAATTATATAGCAAGCTGGAAAATATAACCACAGTTGAGAACAATCTTGGTTCAACTCTGAACAAATAGTCTCAAACACCTAAGTTAGTAAAGTAAAACATTATTCAATTTGCTTGTTTCTATTATAAATTTTGTCAAGCAAAACCTGCAAATTATTAATGCAATGATCCATCCACTCTAAATTTAAACTAGAGCAAAGTTCCCAATATTGCTGTTTTTCTGGAACATTTTTTGAGTCAGCTATTATTGTTTTAAAAATTGCAGGAACTGCTTTGCTGTCTCCCCCCCCCCTCCCCTGCTGTACACGCTGAATAGCTTAGAAATCAACAACTGAGGTTCATTTAACATCTTTTGTCCATTTAACTCTCAATGCTCTTAGGAGAGAAAGATGGGGAATTTGTAACCTTCCAGATGTTGATGAACTGATACTTCCATCATCCCTCACCATTCATGACATAAGCATTAGCTGAGTGGAACTGTATCTTTACATGATCTGTATAACCACAAAAGGTAATGTTGCCAAAAGAAATCTGCTCTTCTGCTTTCTCAAGAGCAAATTTAGCTCCAAATCTCTACAAAATTAAAAGTTGATCCGGGAAGTCAATGACACGTTTGTATTCCTCACAACACAAAAAAGCCTGCTGTTCGTGTAAGGCTTGTGTAGCCATCATGGAGAGCAGCTAGTTGATGAAATGCTGGGATGCATCTCAATCACATGCTTAGTCACATGCCCAACTCTGCAACCAAGATGCATCACAGCATTTCATCAATTAGCCTCAGCAGTATTATATGAAAATTAACAAACACAACGGGATTCCAGGCAATATGTCTGATTCTACCCAGTCTAACAACTGCATAAAATGGAAAACATTACACATCCACCATCTGCAAATTTTGCATAGTTTATCCCGATTCCAAAAACTGACGCCTAAAAACCTGAAGGTATTTTACAAGGGAAGTATTAACAGGCACCTAATAAAACAGAAAAAACTTCACATCTAATTCTTGTGCATTTGGATAATACATACTGTTACAATCTGCACCAACATTTTCATTACATAAAATATTGGGAAAAAATTAAATTAAGGTATTTAGGATGGTTTTTACCTGCTGATAGAAAAAACTTAACGTTGGCTTATCTTCTGTAAACTGGTTCAGAAATCCTTTTGGCAAATATCTGATTCGCAGTTCATATCTGGAAGAAAGCACAGATAATTTATTTACCTTACATTCTGTATATTACAAGCCACCATCATATTTAAAGAAAAAGGAACAGAACTAGATAATAACCTGTTGATTTGGTACCTTCCATAGTTATCATGTACTCCCATGAAAACTATCTCATAAGGATGCCAGGAACTGCCTTTAATTACTACATTTCAACCACATACAGCTGGGTTTCAATGCCATCCCAAGCCACAGATTTATTCCTGAAAGCTGGGATATTTCATGGAGTATCACCTAATGTGCTATAGGGGTATAGCCAAAAGGGGAAATTGTTACCATTCATACACACATCCTCAGATCCTGACCTATATTAAGCATTAACAGCAATACATTCAGCCCAATACTGTATTTGCTTCAGCTATGTTTGACTGTAGCTTCAGCTCTGCTGTGGAGATGCACAATTTTTCTTTGAATTTAATACACATGTACAGTAATGGATATGCTGATTAAATTCATCCTGGACAATCCCGTTTATAGTTTTATGAAATTCATAAAATCTTATCATTATGTTATTAAAATAGTATAACATTATTATTAGAAGTAGGCATAGATATCATTTAAGTGTTTTGGAACAAAGTGCTCATGTACATTAACAGCTAAAGCGTTGCTTTGGTTATCTGAGAATGAGCTTAAAATCTTTACTACGAAGGTCACTCACTAGCCTTCAGCAAGTCACTTCCTTCCAGCTTAGTCTCTGCAACAGTGTGATGCCGACACAACATTCAGAGGACCTATTTGGTTGTAACATTAATTTCATGGCTAACAAGATCGTGGACTGGATTATTAAAATCACATGAGGACTTGGGTCATTCAATCGCATGTGGACAGAACATTTCACCTATGAAATCTGCCATCATCACCTTGGTGCAGCAATTAGTATTAAGAAATCATTTCACTAATACCAATGTGTATTTCTCAGTGCTAATGAATGTGCAGTAGAAACAAACGACTTGTCACACAGATTATGGCTGGAGATAGAAGGCTTGAACCTCCCATTCCTATATAGTATGATTTTTAAAATAACAGGGCAGGTGCTAGCATGTACCTTTTAAAAATACACACATTTTGATTGCTGACTGTGCCATTAAAATTACTCAGTATTCAGGTGGTGAACTCCTTCAAGAAAAGATGGACGACTAATAAAGCATCACAAACAATTTATACAAAAATTTGTAAACTAATTATAATATATTTGACATGCTACATACCTCCCACTGGTGCAACCCTTATATTTTCCTTCACTGCAAAGTGAAGTGTTTGGAAGAAAGCAAAGAAAGTACTATATTGCAATAGGAAGCGGTTCTAGGGAAGGATTTCTATGACATGTTGTATTTTTTTCTGCAGCCTGTTTTAACTTATACATGGGTTTGGACATGTTTATGAGTATTCTGGTGAGAAAGGCCAGATTTCTCTTAAACATTTTCACAGTTCCCTCTCAACC